TAGCGGTCCGAGATCGGCGCAACCTTTGTATTCTCTCAATCGTGAATATTTTTCGCCGATCCTCCGTCACTTCCCGATAACAATCACGTGCATTCGAAACACCGTTGAAAATCTTAAGCTGAAATTAGTCAAGAACGTAAACCTACCGGTACGTAAACCCGACTCAGCTGACACGATCTGTCTTACCAAAGCGCCATGTAAATGAAAACTCAACACCGCAGAATTTTTCTGTAGTTGTAGCCCGTAGCGCAGAAATCTGCGGAATTTAGATTTTTCCGTGTCAGCTGATTTCTCCTTCTTTAGATGGTTGCCACTTCGTCAGTTTTACAGATGGTAAAAAAGTTGTAAGTTCCTATTCAAAATATGTTTAAAATATTTGAAATTTACTATTGAATAAGGTTTTTGTTGAAAACTAAGTCGTTTATATTTAGCTAAAATCTATTATAGCACGAAAAATTGTAGTTGAAAGGGTAAGTTTATGAAAAGGCATTGATGAGTGGCAACAGTGTAGTAAGCAACACTGAGGGCTCCAGTAATCGACAAAATTCTGCGTATACAGACTGCGTTTAAGTATACGTTCTGCGTTCTCGACTAATTTCAGCTTTACTCATTTCCGTCCAAACATCAGTTGTAGGCCCAGGTAAGTTATCGGTAAGAAAATGTTATTTTGAAGAAATTGCCTAACTACGGCAATAGCTTTTTCTTTTTAAATTTTTGATGGTTTAGGCATCTTAAATATGTATCTTATATACATACGGTGACCATATTTATGAGAGCCGAATACGGGACAAAAGATAATTTTGGAAATTTTTTCCACACTGTTTTCCCTGAAGAAACATCACAAATTGGTAGGATAATTTTTACCCCGTAAAATTTGTTTAAAAAAATTCGTTAAATTTTAGTATAACAAAGTGCACTTTAAGTCGGTAAGGTTTACCACTAATTTTTGGCAATTTTTTTTTTGTTGACGGTGTTACAGGCTAACCTAATATTCACGCACGCCGCCAATTTATTGTCAAAAATTTCTCATGCACATGCAACTTGTATGAGATCAACCGAAATTGAACGGCGTGCGTATGAAGCTAACTCAATTTCCAACTTTTGTTCTGCGTGACATTTTGATTTGACGTTTCGCTCAATGAAATCAAATGCAAACGCATGCAAGTCAATTTCGGTTGACGCAAAAAAACAAATTCGACGGCATGCGTGCCAAAACGCAAGCCGCGAATATTAGGTTAGCCTGTTACGCATTTTTTTCATATAAAGTAAGTATGTATGTTCGACCTTTTTTTTTGAAAGAAAAACAAATGAGTAGCACTTTCCACTCGCACTTTATTATACTAAATTTTAATGAGTTACAAAACTGCAAACCAAATTTTTTTCTAAAGATTCTAATTAAAAAGTTTGAAATTTTGGCGAAATATTGTAGAATTAATTTTTATAGTTTTCGCACAAAGTTGGAAGTTTGGTATTATATGGTTTTTGTTACTAAAAGAGCTTTACTTTCATAAAATAAATAATAAACTGAGGAAAAATAGCCAAACTTACTAAAATGTCGAGTCCTAATTTCTATTTTGGCCGCTGTATGTATTCCTCGATTCGAATCACAGGCATTCAGATTAGAAAATAATAACTGTTTATAAAGAAAATTACAATCATATACCAACATCACTTAAAACTCGTTCATAGGCATTCCATTTTAATGAGCTGTTAAGGCGTCGGAACACCGAATACGGGACAAATACAGGGCATTAAAAGAAATACAGAACATTTGGCGTCCCGTATAAAATAAATAAATTACCAGGACAATGGGTCAAAAAAGAGGACTGTCCCGTATAATACAGGACGGATGGTCACCGTATATATACAGCAATACTAACAAATCTCGCACTATACGAATATTTTTTTTACAAAGGTTTAACAATTACACGCGTCACTAATAACCGATCTCGCACTACGCTCTATACTTAGGCTTTCCGTCGCTTCCGCGAAGGTTGTTTTGCTGTATGCCTGCTCGTTATGCCCGTATGATAAGTACTACGTTTTTTGAAGTGAAAACTTCTTTAGCGGCGGGAGTGCTTGTTAATGAGTTGCTTTACATACATACAAATGTTCTAGTGCAGGGGTGCTCATGCGGTAGCTCAATTTGCTCAATTGGCTCAGTTGGCTCACTTACAACAAACACAGAATTCGTGGAAGCACAACACGCAAAAAGTTCACCGACAAAAATCTATCGACATTCAGCAGGCTTACAAAACACCACTGTGGCTCACTTACAACAAACACAGCAAAACAAGCGTTGACTCAGCAAAAAACACTCCTGCCTCGCTTTGGCTCGCATATGCTCAGCTTTATGCTTGTATCATTGATTTGTTATTTAGGGGTTGACATATTTTTTGCAATTCCCAGAACGATGTTGTTATAATTGGTATTGACGTTGTTGTCGTTTGGCTCAGTAACTTAAATTTGTTGAGCACCTCTGTTCTAGTGCACTCGGTTTGCTTGCTATGATTTGCCGCTATGTTACTTTACCACTTCACTTGGTTTATACATTTTGCTTCACAACAGAATTCAAGCGCTGTCGTCGCTGTAGCAAACGCTGTTTCGAATATTGAAGTGTTTGTTTCATCCCTGCTAGCTTTTTGAAAGATCTGTATGTGTTATACCAACTCGCTTTCTTTTACAACGCTTTTATCAACTTGCAATGTTGTGTGTCCAGACACCATTCATAGCTATAAAATCTTTGCTTTGCAAAGATCCTATAAAAGTCTAGACATCAACCTCGTCTCCTGGTATCATATCAAAACTCTAGAGGTAGACGTCGCCTCGCCGCAAGTAGTTATATATTGCGCCTAAAAATATGCACTACATACGCTACAGTGGAAATGGACGACACGCCATTTCTTTAAATGAAACTAATTGCTGCTATATGTATGTATATACTAGGCTTCTGTTCTCTTTTCACTGTAAGTTGAATTATTTTAATAACTATTGCAAAATTTTATACAGACAAGACTAATATAGTCTATATAGACTAATATAAGATTGCATATAGTTTTTTTCGTAAATGCTTAGATGTCGTACTAGCACATCAAATTTTCAACCCTTAATTTGAAAATTGAATAAAAAGAGAACGGTTAATGACCAAACGATGAAAATATGTGACCAATCCTCACAGATTGATGACCAATCGATTGCATATAGTTTTTTTTTTTCTTAAATGCTTGGATGGGGTGCTAGCTCATCAAATTTTCAACCCCTAATTTGAAAACTGAATAATTAGAGTACGGTTTATGACCAAACCATGAAAATAAGTGACCAGTCCTCACCGATCGCTGACCAATCGATAGCATATAGTTTTTTTTCTTAAATGCTTGGATGGGGTGCTAGCACATCAAATTTTCAACCCCTATTGTAAAAATTGAATAACTAGAGAACGGTTAATGACCAAACGATGAAAATTAGTGACAAATCCTGACCAAACGATGACCAATCGTTTGCGTATAGTTTTTTTTCGTAAATCCTTGGATGGGNTCCTGACCAAACGATGACCAATCGTTTGCGAATAGTTTTTTTTCGTAAATCCTTGGATGGGGTGCTAGCTAGACGGAGCCGAACACTTCACACACCTTGTAAGGAAAAGTGAATTATTACGAAATACTAATACAGTGGCAGCACTATAGCTATTTTGGAATCTCGCGTTTCAGTTCGCAAAGATTGTCAACTTCTTTTTAATAACAAGATAATCTATCTTATAGGGAATTTACATGAGGCGATTTTTCAGGCTAATCGCTTACAATGAAGTTGGTCGGCTCCCTACTTTCGTTCAACTTTTGGTTCAACTAATCGCCTGTGAAAGTTGAATCATGTAAATTCCCTATTAGGTTGATAAAATTATGTGTTTGTTTAATAAATAAGTTAAATTATATATTTTAATAGTGTTTAAAAAGTGAGAACAGGTGATTTAATGAATCTTTGTCGGTGTAACTGCCCATAGAAAACAACGAAATTTAACAAAAGTTTTTTGTTCATAACTTTGAAATGGTTAATGATATTAGCCCTCCCCCTCCGGATTGTTAATAGGGGGACCGAAACGCGTCGTTTGGTACCCCTCCCAACTTTTCCGGACCTTTTTTAGGGGTGGTTACCCTATACTTACCAAAACATCAAATCCACTATTTGTAGGCTTTCTCTTTGAATTTTTTTTCTATTCATTTTTTTTTTTCAATTGATCTTAATTTTATTCTTACAATTTTTGACTGCGCATTTGTATGTCGTTTGATACTTGACATCTTTCTTCAAATCAACCTCAAATGAATTTCAAATGTAAAATTAATCAATTTGAAAATCATTTGATATCAAATTGAGAAATACATTTTTCTCATACGTTTATAACTGTGTTTGCTGGGAAGTTACACTCTCACAAGCGTCAAAAATGTTGTGTTTGTTATGTAGAGAAATTCATAATAAAAGAACTAAAATAACACAAGAGACGTTGATGTGTATGATATTTTTTAGTTTTTAGCTTAAATAGCTCGATCGAAATGCGTATTATAATACAACCATCACTATTGTCAGGACGCCTACACAACGTAGACAATTATCATTTTGACAACTAATACGTATTCCTTTAGTTAGTGCTATTTTCCGTTTTTGTATTTTACAATATTTGCTATCGGATTTAAACAAACAACAGCTGCAACAGCTGTTTTTTCAAATTGACTTCATGCACATGTCTGCCTTGAAAGAAAGTCTGGCCTGTTTCGGGCACGAAGAAGGAATACTTTTACGATCCAAAAGTAGAAGGTATTCGCTCTCTATTACCCATTTTTCTAGCGTGAGGAACGCTTTCTGCGCTGCTTTGGGCGCCCGCGGGCTCGTGTGGAACAAACCTGATATGTTTTTCATTTTTTTAAGCTTCGCTAGGAATAAGGTGCTACCAATGCTCTTCCGATCAAGATCAAAAAGGTTATGACAGCTGTGGTGCCTATAAACCATTCAATAAGACAGAACATATTCCTATCGAATGCAATACTGATGAGTCACACATGCCAGGATCTTTCTGTATGAAAGTAGTTCAACAAGGGCCAAGAGGATTTATCTGTAAGTTTTTTTGGGCTGTATATATTAGTTTTAAAATATTTGATAACTTATATTTAGGGGATGGACGTTGGCGTCAAGTTATCCGGCGTTGCGCTTCCGTATCTGACACTGGTGTGACTGGTGTTTGTAACTGGGGTGTTTATGAAAATGGTGTATATTGGGAAGAGTGTTACTGCTCCAGCGATAGCTGCAATGGTGCTCCAAATATCGTGTTATTTAAACCTGCAGTGCCTATTATTATAATTTACACTTTAATGAATTTAAACAAGTGGAATTAACTAAAACTTACGGTATACCAACATATACGTGTATATGCGATTCCGTCCTTTGTCGTAGATTTTCAACATGACTATGTATAAGTTCCCCAAAGTAAGTAATTATGTACGTAGGTTTAGAATATAAGAAAATAAATTCACTGCGTAAATTTTTTTATAAGTATACTACATAATAAAATTCAACGGACAGTACAAGCCTTCAACTTTCTTCCTCGTTTGGATCTTTTGAATCTCTCAACTTTCAATGCCCCATCCTGCCATCCAGCACATGAAGAGGTCGATACCGCACAGTATATAGCGAGTGAGCCATTTGGCATTTCCTTAACTCCCATATATGATTTGATATCCGGAAGCCACAACTTAACTTCACCTTTTGAGCCTTGATACTATTCGGAAGAAAGTAAAAATTAAACGAGTTATGTAAACATGCTACCTTGCGCACATTTAATACATAAGCTTAATAGGGCTTTCGCACGAGGCGATTTTTCAGGCAACTTTTGCGTTCAACTCACGCATGGTTGTTCGAAAAAAAATTGAATGGCTAAAAATATCAAAATATTCGCCATAAAAAGGCGTTTGCATTGTTCAACTTTGCATTCTACTTTTGGTTGAACGGCCTTTCAACAAATCGCTTTCAACAAAGCTGGTCGCCAGCCAACACTTAGCCATTCAACTTTTTTTTCGTGCAACCCTGCGTGAGTTGAAAGCAAAATTTGAACGCAAAATCGCCTCGTGCGAACACCTTTTAAGGCTGCTTTTCATTAGGTCAAAATCACTGACATCAAAAACTGCCTTCATCTGACAGCTGTTCATTTGGTGTCAAATGCATTTTCATTAGGTGCAATCCCGTATTCCTCGGACTCGGACTAGTAAAACTGTCAAAAAATAAAAATTCGCTCAGAGCGAGAGAGGAACATTGAAAAGTACGGGATCGCTTTCTAGTAAAAAATGGTAACTTCTGTCAACTTCAACATAACCTCCAAATTTTGGTTGTAAATTTTTGCTTATTTTGTATGTAAACACACTCAGCTCACACATGTAAATAACCAAAAATACTTTCATACTGTAGTATGACACATTTACCAGAATTTACCAGCAAAAAATTCTCGGACTAAAACTGGTGACTTCTGACAGAGAGAGAACGGTATTTACTCTCTTTTTTGTCCTCTCCATAGTCAGAGAACCGAGTACGCGATCGATTTCCAGTAAAATCTGACTGATTCTGACTAGTCCGGACTCGTACGGGATCGCAACTATTACATTTTAAAAACTGACCAAATGTCGATACCGTAGGTATGTCAAAGATTGTCGTCAAATTTCGGTTCATTACTGATAACAAATGTGAAGTTAAATTTTTTTAAAAAGTGTAGAATACCGACCTTTTAGCTATAGATATACCAAATATGTAACTGGATAGAACTCTTCATGCTGATTTCAACCTTACCAAAATTATTTAGCGCAAAAACATTAAGAAAATATAGGAGGTTAAGTTAAATTTTTCGATTAAACAACTAATGATATCAAAATAAAGATGGCTAGTTTATCTTTCATATTTTTGTGGGTTCTATACATGAAATAAGCTAACACGTGTTCGAGGATTTTTTTTCCTTTTTTTTCGGAGATATGATCTGTGAAACTTCGCATTTTTTCGTGATTCTGACTAATCATGTACTTCTTCATATCGTTATATCTCGGGTTCTGCTCATCGTAGAGACTTCTTCTTAAAGTCATTTTAAAGCTAAAGAAACGGGTTTAACATTTCTATATATAAGATGGTCAAGATTGTCCTAAAGCTAACTTAGCTATTAACAGTTGAACTTTTTGAAGTTGATTTGCATAGTGAAGACCAGTAAATTAGGGATTTAAAATTATACCATCGTAATGCTTGTTTAATTTTCTATAAAAGACGTGGTGCAAAAAAACGGGCGTTTTTCAAGAACTATTTTTAAAATATTTTTTTTTATGGTGAGATGCTTTGTTTTGTGTGAATCAAAAATTTTTTGTAATTTTTTTTGAAAACTTATGTTGAGATATATTTAGTAAGTTGTTAAACATCGGGTTTTTGCAAAAATTTAAATTTTATTGCGGATTCCGATAGAATGCCTATCACAGCGAACGGCAGTGCGCGAGTGACGAAAGCAGCAACAGTAGCATGCTGAAATGACTCGCTTATATATACACGAGATTTGGAAGTTTTTATCCAGACGTCCAATCGACATGTTTGAGATATCGTTGGAAAGGTCTTGTAGAGTGAGTCCAGAAAATGTATTCAAGCTTCATAAACGAATAGCCGGATTCTTAAAAATTAGGCTAAAGTGTTGCGAAACAAAAAAGGTTTTTTTGCTTTTGGCGGTTTAAGGGGCATGTGGATACACCCAACATATTTAGTGTTATTCTATAGGCCAATACCTTTCAAACAATACCTTACATATTAAGTTCCGGCTACTAGTTGGAAAGATATAGAGGTAAATGTGTTTTGGTTCGTGTCTCCACTAGGAGATGCTTTGGTATGTATGTGACGTCTGTACGTACCATCATTTAATTTTTTTCAAACTTTCAGGAATTAAAGTACAAAAAAAAACTAAGAAGGTTTTATTCCAGGATGTTTTGATTCGTATGCCTTTGTGGGCGTGGCTGCTGCCTGAAATTCGAAAAAAGGCAATTTTTTAAACTACCACTAAGGCCGCACTACTCAGTCCATGTCATTGATGTGGATATCAGTAGAAGGGTCTTCAAACAGGCTATCTAACTCTATCTTTTGTGTTTATAAAATATAAAATTTCATAACGTTATCGCCCGCAAACTAAAAATCGGGCTGCTGAAAATATAACATTCGGGCATTTTCTCAAAAACTGGTCAGTCGATTTTATTCTAGGTTTCCACAAGTCTAGCCCAAACCTTAGCTTTCATCTGGTATACAGCTTATATCTGGGAAAACTCTTGTTGTGGAGATATTGCGATTCAAATTGAAAAAATGTCGCTCCAAAAAGGGTCAAATGGTTAAAAATTAACATATCCGTCTAATTTGGTTATTTTAAGATATAATTGCCCATTCCCCGATTGCCACTTAAACCGAATTTCCCTGAAAATCGGGGAATTTTCCGCGAGTTGACAAGTTGAATGATGCAGCTGTGCTAATCACTTCCTAAATGTCTTGGAAACCACTATTTGTGTGTATTTTAGACCACTTAACCTACCAGGGAAGACGCGTACAATATTACCTATAGTTGTACATAAATATATATGTATGAATGCATTTAGTTCACCCAGTGTGCCGCTACTACTTACATACATATGTATAAATTGCCACTGAGCAAAACTACTTGAGAAAAAAGCATTAGTTTAGTAGCACGAGTGCAGATAGATAGATAGATAATTAATAGAGGCATGCACTGCGACCAGCAGGTCTATTGTGCCCTCAACCATTTACAGTACCTCATCTAATCCTAGAGAGCCCAAAAATTGAGGAGATCCCCAGGGATTAGCGATTGTATTGCTTCGTTACTTGGCCAGTAGTGGCCCAGGTACCTCTCCCGTCTTCTCGCGACCGCCGCGCATTCGCTAAGCAGGTGTACGGGAGTCTCCTCGGTCACGTCGCAGAAACGACATAGGTCGTTTGACCAAATCCCTAGCTTGTGTAGGTGGCCTCTCAGTCTGCAGTGACCCGTCAGAAAACCTGTTATAATCCTTAGTTTTCCTTTGGATAGATTGATAATTGCCCTGTACCTCGTAAGGTTGTAGCCTCCCAGTAGGTGTTTTGCTTGACGTAAACCTGTTACGCCAGTGTTGATTCCTTTGTATGTTCCTTTCTTTCCTGAGCTCCTGTTGTTGTTGTTGTTGTAGCGGCTACAACAACCCCGCCCAGGACGGTTGGTATCTCAGTCGTTGTCGTCAAGTTCCACTAACGGCAACCCTAGGAAGCGTGCAGCTTCTGTGGGGTTTGTCCACAGGGACAAGGCCGTTAGGGTTGTCGGGTTTTCCGGGCATGCGAATAGATGTTTCGAGTCATGTGGGATCTCTCCGCATGCCGGACACTCATTCGGCACATCCTCATTCCACCTACTCAGGTAGGAGTTCAACCTGCTGCAGTAGCCGGAGCTAAGTTGTGCAAGTGTTGTGCGTGTCTCCCGAGGCAGATGAAGCTCCGTCTCGTCTATGTCCGGGGGTGGTATGCCTAGAACGGCATTTACAGGTCTAGAGTCTACATAACTCGAGACTGAGTCCCTGTGAATGCCGTTCAGGGCCTGTCGGCCTCCTTGATTGTACTAGGTCCAATCGCTAGGAAGGGCTCAGGCCCTATAGGCGACGAGGCGGCCGCCATTCTAGCTAGTCGGTCCGCTTCCTCGTTGCCCGCAACTCCTATGTGTCCTGGTACCCAAGTTAATTGGATTTCGTTGTGCTCCGCCAGGCTGTTGAGCCTATCTATGCACTCAAGAACCAAGGACGACTTGACCTCAAATGCTGAGAGGGCCTTGAGTGCCGCCTGGCTGTCGCTCAATATTAAAATTCTCTCGTTACGGTAATTCCTACGTAGATTAATCTCTGCACACAGACTGATGGTATAGACCTCCGCCTGGAAGATACTCGGGTATGCCCCCATAGGTACCGAGAGCTGTAGGCCCGTGGACGCCAGCCCCAATGCCTTCCGGAGTCTTCGAGCCGTCTGAATACCATTGCAACGAGCTCGATTGGATCAGCCTCTCCATGAGAGAGGTGCTCCAGGTCGCCTTGGTGCAAAGCTCTATCTTGAAATTCCTGTCCTTAGGCCTGTCGTCTCTGGGGAGTAAAGCTAGCGGAACTTGGGAGCCTAGCTTGTCTCTGTTCCTTAACGATATGGTTTTGCCCCTGCCAAAGCCTTCCCTCGCGAAATTTAGTAGAGTTCCTGTTCTATGGTAAGGTGCAGCGGCTCGAGCTCGAGAATCACCTCCAGCGCTGCCGTAGGACATGCGCTCATTGCCCCCGTAATGCATACACATGCCAGACGTTGAAGCTTGGTGAGGGATTGCCTCACCGTGGTGAGGGTGGTTTTCGAGGCCCAAGCCACTGCTCCATAGGTGACTATTGGTCTAACTATCATGGTATACATCCATCTCAGAATTCTGGGACTACAGCCCCAGGTCTTCCCTGCCAGGAATTTGCATACCATTAGTGCCCTCGTAGCTTTGGAAGTGACCGCGTCAACATGTGCCTTCCAC